TTTGAGCGCGCCCGGGTACCCCCTTGCTCTGCCGCTTGGTACCGCCCACCGGATAACTGATAACGCCACGCCCCCCCAAGGGCGCCCAGCCAATCAGAGCCCGACCCATCCGGCTTGACCACGCCCCCCCCCCAAGTGGGCGGGCTCATCGGGCACGAAAGGGGGGAACCCAATGCCTCAAAATGGGGGGGTCACCCCAAAATAGGGGAAACCCCTTCAAACTGGGTCCCCAGCACCCCAAAATGGGAGACCCCCCCAAACTGGGACCCCGGCACCCTAAAATAGGGGGGACGCCCCAAAATGGGGGGAACCCATCCAAACTGGGACCCCAGCACCCCAAAATATGGGGGAACACCCCAAAATGGGGGAAACCCTTTCAAACTGGGACCCCGGCACCCCAAAATAGGGGGGGACACCCCAAAATGGGGGAAACCCCTTCAAACTGGGTCTTCAGCACCCCAAAATGGGGGAACCCCCCCCAAACTGGATCCCCAGCACCCCAAAATGGGGGGAACACACCCCAAAATGGGAGACCCCCCAAACTGGGACCCCAGCACCCCAAAATGGGGGGAACACACCCCAAAATGGGACCCCAGCAGCCCAAAATGGGGGACCCCCCCAAATTGGGTCCCCAGCACCCCAAAATGGGGTGGTGGCACCCCAAAATGGGACCCCAGCACCCCAATATGGGGGGGCACTCCAAAATGGGGAAACCCCCCCAAATTGGGTCCCCAGCACCCCAAAATGGGGTGGGGGCACCCCAAAGTGGGACCCCAGCAGCCCAAAATGGGGGAAACCCCATCCAAACTGGGACCCCAGCACCCCAAAATGGGGTGGGGGCACCCCAAAATGGGACCCCAGCACCCCAATATGGGGGGGCACTCTAAAATGGGGGAAACCCCCCCAAATTGGGTCCCCAGCACCCCAAAATGGGGTGGGGGCACCCCAAAATGGGACCTCAGCACCCCAAAATGGGGGAAACCCCATCCAAACTGGGACCCAGCACCCCAAAATGGGACCCCAGCACCCCAATATAGGGGGGGCACTCCAAAATGGGGGAAACCCCCCAAATTGGGTCCCCAGCACCCCAAAATGGGGTGGGGCACCCCAAAATGGGACCTCAGCACCCCAAAATGGGGGAAACCCCATCCAAACTGGGACCCCAGCACCCCAAAATGGGACCCCAGCACCCCAATATGGGGGGGCACTCCAAAATGGGGGAAATCCCCCAAATTGGCTCCCCAGCACCTCAAAACGGGGGGGCACCCCAAATTGGCTCCCCAGCACCCCAAAATGGGGGGGTCACCCCGAAACGCCCCCCTCTCCCCCCCCAAAATGGTCGCGACCCCCCTTTTCTACCCTCCCTTATGGAACAAACCACTATGGGGAGGGGGGGGGGGCAGCAGTTTTATTCCCATCAGCATCAAAAAGGGGGGGGGGGGATTAAATAAGATCATGGGGACGTATAAAATAATATACACAATTGGGGGGGGGGGATGTGATTTTGGGGGGGCCCAATGGGGGGGTCACAGTGAGGCCCCTCCCCCCCTCCCCCCCGTGGAGAAAATGGGTAGAAAAAGGCAAGATTTGGGGCTGGAAAGGCGCCTTTTATACAAATATAGTGATTTATAAAGGGGGGGTCGGGGGGGGGGGGGTTAAACCCATTGGTTTCCACTAGGAAATAATTTAGGGGGGGGAGAAAGTGCTGGAAGAGCCTAATTATTAATTAGCATATTATTAATTATTATTATTAAGGATTTGACCCCTAAATGAGGGGCTGGGGGGGGGCTCCTGCACCCCCTTATTGCCTTGAATGGTAGCATCCCGTGTCCCCCCCTCCCCCGCCCAGGGATATGGGGGGGCAAAGGGGATGTATGGGGGTGGGGGGTGCCCTATAGGGAAGCTTCAGCCCTATAGGAAGGCTCAGCCCCATAGGGAAAGCCTGAACCCCATAGGGAAGGCTCAGCCCTATAGGGAAGGCTCAGCCCCATAGGGAAAGCCTGAACCCCATAGGGAAAGCCTGAACCCCCTAGGGAAGGCTCAGCCCCATAGGGAAGGCTAAACCCTATAGTGAGGGCCAGAACCCCATAGGGAAGGCTGAACCCTATAAGGAGGGCCTGAACCCCATAGCAAAGCCTCAGCCCAGTAGGGAAGGCCTAAACCCCATAGGGAAGCCCCCAGCCCCATAGAGATGGATATTCTCAGTCCCCTAGGGAGGTTTGTGGCCCCATAAGGGCTGGTCCTCAGCCCCACAGGGAGGCTCCTGGCCGCACAGAGATGCTCTCAGCCCCATATGGATGCCCTCTAGCCCTATAGGGAAGGTCCCCAGTGCCATATGGATGCACATACGGTCCCATAGAGTTGCATTTGGTCCCATACAGAGGCCCATATGGAAGCCCATGGCCCCATATGGGAACCCATGGCCCCATATGGACGCCCTCAGCCCAATGTAGATGCGTGTGGTCCCATATGGAGGCCCTTGGTCCTATATGGAGGCCCTTGGTCCTATATGGAGGCCCATAGCTACATATGAAAGTCCTCAGCCCTAAGCCCTAGATGGATGCTTGTGGTCCCATGTGGAGGTCCCATGTCATATATTGATGCTCCTAGCCCCATATGGATGCTCCTAGCCCCATAGAGAGGCCCTCAATCCCATATGGATGCTTGTGGTCCCATCTGGAGGCCCTTGGTCCCATACGGATGCCGCTGGTCCCATGTTGTATATGGATGCTGCTCGTAGGCCCATATAGAGCCCCTCAGCCCCATATAGAGGGGCCCTCAGCCCTAGATGGATGCTGGTGGTCCCATATGGAAGCCCCATGTCCTATACGGATGCTCCTAACCCTGTAAGGATGCTCCTAACCCCATAGGGATGCTCCTAACCCCATAGGGATGCTCCTAACACCATAAGGATGCTCCTAACCCCATAGGGATGCTCCTAACCCCATAGGGATGCTCCTAACCCCACAGGGATGCTCCTAACCCCATAGGGATACTCCTAACCCCATAGGGATGCCCTTGGTCCCATAGAGACCCCCTCAGCCCCATATGGTGGTCCATAGGAGGACACAGCATCCCCTATATGAGTCCCATGAGGCATCCCCTATGGCTCCATCTGCTCCAGGCACTGGAGATGCCAAGTGTCCCTTATGGAATCCCAGTGCTCCCTATGGAATCCCAGCGCTCCCTATGGATTCCCAGTGTCTCCCTATGGAATCCCAGTGTCTCCCTATGGAATCCCAGTGTCCAAGGGGGGTCCCCAGTGTCCTATGGGGGGGGGGGGGGTGTCACAGCTCCTCTTTGTCCACAGTACCGGAGAAGATCCAAGATCCTTAATGTCCCTTATGGAACTGCAGCGTCCCCGTATGGAATCCCGGCGTTCCCTATGGAATCCCGGCGTTCCCTATGGAATGCCATTGTCCCAAGGGGGGGTCACAGCTCCTCTTTGTCCATGGTGCCGGAGAAGACGCAAGATCCTCAGTGTCCCTTATGGAAGAGCAGTGGAATTCCAGTGTTCCCTATGGAATGACGGCGCTCCCTATGGAATGACGACGCTCCCTATGGAATGACGATGCTCCCTATGGAATGATGACGTTCCCTATGGAATGACGATGCTCCCTATGGAATGACAATGCTCCCTATGGAATGACGACGCTCCCTATGGAATCCCAGCGCTCCCTATGGAATGACGGTGCTCCCTATGGAATGACGGCGTTCCCCTATGGAATGACGCTGTTCCCCATGGAATGACAGCGCTCCCTATGGAATGACAGTGCTCCCTATGGAATGACAGTGCTCCCTATGGAATGATGGCGTTCTCTATGGAATGACGACGCTCCCTATGGAATGACGGTGCTCCCTATGGAATGCCAGTGTCCCAAGGAGGTCACAGCTCCTCCTTGTCCATGGTGCTGAAGAAGATGCGAGATCCTCAGGGTCCCTTATGGAATCCCAGCGTTCCCTATGGAATGACGGCGTTCCCTATGGAATGACAGTGTTCCCTATGGAATGCCATTGTCCCAAGGGGGGGGTCACAGCTCCTCCTTATCCATGGTGCTGAAGAAGATGTGAGATCCTACGGGTCTCTTATGGAAGGGCAGCGTCTCCCTATGGAATGACGGCGTTCCCTATGGAATGACGCTGTTCCCTATGGAATGACGCTGTTCCCTATGGAATGACGCTGTTCCCTATGGAATGCCATTGTCCCAAGGAGGGGGTCACAGCTCCTCCTTGTCCACGGTGCCGGAGAAGATGCGGGCGAAGCGGCGGAGCTGGCGCGCGGCCGAGTGCGATTCCTGCTGCAGGCGCCGGTTGTTGTGGCGCAGGTTGGCCACTTCGGCCTGGAGAACCACTTTGTCCTGCTTCTCCTATGGGATACAGGGTCAGAGCCCCAAAACACCCCAAAAACACCCCAAAAACCAGCCCAAAACCACCTTGTCCTGCTTCTCCTATGGGATACAGGGTCAGAGCCCCAAAACACCCCAAAAACACCCCAAAAACCAGCCCAAAACCACCTTGTCCTGCTTCTCCTATGGGATACAGGGTCAGAGCCCCAAAACAGACCCAAAACACCCCAAAAACCAGCCCAAAACCACCTTGTCCTGCTTCTCCTATGGGATACAGGGTCAGAGCCCCAAAACAGACCCAAAACACCCCAAAAACCAGCCCAAAACCACCTTGTCCTGCTTCTCCTATGGGATACAGGGTCAGAGCCCCAAAACAGACCCAAAACACCCCAAAACCCAGCCCAAAACCACCTTGTCCTGCTTCTCCTATGGGATACAGGGTCAGAGCCCCAAAACAGACCCAAAACACCCCAAAAAACAGCCCAAAACCACCTTGTCCTGCTTCTCCTATGGGATACAGGGTCAGAGCCCCAAAACACCCCAAAAACACCCCAAAAACCAGCCCAAAACCACCTTGTCCTGCTTCTCCTATGGGATACAGGGTCAGAACCCCAAAATACCCCAAAACACCCCAAAACCCAGCCCAAAACCACCTTGTCCTGCTTCTCCTATGGGATACAGGGTCAGAGCCCCAAAACAGACCCAAAACACCCCAAAACCCAGCCCAAAACCACCTTGTCCTGCTTCTCCTATGGGATACAGGGTCAGAGCCCCAAAACACCCCAAAAACACCCCAAAACCCAGCCAAAACCACCTTGTCCTGCTTCTCCTATGGGATACAGGGTCAGAGCCCCAAAACAGACCCAAAACACCCCAAAAACCAGCCCAAAACCACCTTGTCCTGCTTCTCCTATGGGATACAGGGTCAGAGCCCCAAAACAGACCCAAAACACCCCAAAACCAGCCCAAAACCACCTTGTCCTGCTTCTCCTATGGGATACAGGGTCAGAGCCCCAAAACACCCCAAAACACCCCAAAAACCAGCCCAAAACCACCTTGTCCTGCTTCTCCTATGGGATACAGGGTCAGAGCCCCAAAACAGACCCAAAACACCCCAAAAACCAGCCCAAAACCACCTTGTCCTGCTTCTCCTATGGGATACAGGGTCAGAGCCCCAAAACAGACCCAAAACACCCCAAAACCCAGCCCAAAACCACCTTGTCCTGCTTCTCCTATGGGATACAGGGTCAGAGCCCCAAAACACCCCAAAACACCCCAAAAACCAGCCCAAAACCACCTTGTCCTGCTTCTCCTATGGGATACAGGGTCAGAGCCCCAAAACAGACCCAAAACACCCCAAAAACCAGCCCAAAACCACCTTGTCCTGCTTCTCCTATGGGATACAGGGTCAGAGCCCCAAAACACCCCAAAAACACCCCAAAAACCAGCCCAAAACCACCTTGTCCTGCTTCTCCTATGGGATACAGGGTCAGAGCCCCAAAACAGACCCAAAACACCCCAAAAACCAGCCCAAAACCACCTTGTCCTGCTTCTCCTATGGGATACAGGGTCAGAGCCCCAAAACAGACCCAAAACACCCCAAAACCCAGCCCAAAACCACCTTGTCCTGCTTCTCCTATGGGATACAGGGTCAGAGCCCCAAAACACCCCAAAACACCCCAAAAACCAGCCCAAAACCACCTTGTCCTGCTTCTCCTATGGGATACAGGGTCAGAGCCCCAAAACAGACCCAAAACACCCCAAAAACCAGCCCAAAACCACCTTGTCCTGCTTCTCCTATGGGATACAGGGTCAGAGCCCCAAAACACCCCAAAAACACCCCAAAACCAGCCCAAAACCACCTTGTCCTGCTTCTCCTATGGGATACAGGGTCAGAGCCCCAAAACACCCCAAAAACACCCCAAAAACCAGCCCAAAACCACCTTGTCCTGCTTCTCCTATGGGATACAGGGTCAGAGCCCCAAAACAGACCCAAAACACCCCAAAAACCAGCCCAAAACCACCTTGTCCTGCTTCTCCTATGGGATACAGGGTCAGAGCCCCAAAACAGACCCAAAACACCCCAAAAAACAGCCCAAAACCACCTTGTCCAGCTTCTCCTATGGGATACAGGGTCAGAGCCCCAAAACACCCCAAAAACACCCCAAAAACCAGCCCAAAACCACCTTGTCCTGCTTCTCCTATGGGATACAGGGTCAGAGCCCCAAAACAGACCCAAAACACCCCAAAAAACACCCCAAAACCACCTTGTCCTGCTTCTCCTATGGGATACAGGGTCAGAGCCCCAAAACAGACCCAAAACACCCCAAAAACCAGCCAAAACCACCTTGTCCTGCTTCTCCTATGGGATACAGGGTCAGAGCCCCAAAACAGACCCAAAACACCCCAAAAAACACCCCAAAACCACCTTGTCCTGCTTCTCCTATGGGATACAGGGTCAGAGCCCCAAAACAGACCCAAAACACCCCAAAAACCAGCCCAAAACCACCTTGTCCTGCTTCTCCTATGGGATACAGGGTCAGAGCCCCAAAACAGACCCAAAACACCCCAAAAAACACCCCAAAACCACCTTGTCCTGCTTCTCCTATGGGATACAGGGTCAGAACCCCAAAAAACACCAAAACACCCCAAAAACCAGCCCAAAACCACCTTGTCCTGCTTCTCCTATGGGATACAGGGTCAGAGCCCCAAAACAGACCCAAAACACCCCAAAACCCAGCCCAAAACCACCTTGTCCTGCTTCTCCTATGGGATACAGAGACCCAAAACACCCCAAAAACCAGCCCAAAAACCACCTTGTCCTGCTTCTCCTATGGGATACAGGGTCAGAGCCCCAAAACACCCCAAAAACACCCCAAAAACCAGCCCAAAACCACCTTGTCCTGCTTCTCCTATGGGATACAGGGTCAGAGCCCCAAAACACCCCAAAAACACCCCAAAAACCAGCCCAAAACCACCTTGTCCTGCTTCTCCTATGGGATAAAGGGTCAGAGCCCCAAAACACCCCAAAAAGACCCACAAAACCAGCCCAAAACCACCTTGTCCTGCTTCTCCTATGGGATACAGGGTCAGAGCCCCAAAACACCCCAAAAACACCCCAAAAACCAGCCCCGAACCACCTTGTCCAGCTTCTCCTATGGGATACAGGGTCAGAGCCCCAAAACAGACCCAAAACACCCCAAAAACCAGCCCAAAACCACCTTGTCCTGCTTCTCCTATGGGATACAGGGTCAGAGCCCCAAAACACCCCCAAAACACCCCAAAAACCAGCCCAAAACCACCTTGTCCTGCTTCTCCTATGGGATACAGGGTCAGAACCCCAAAAAACACCAAAACACCCCAAAAACCAGCCCAAAACCACCTTGTCCTGCTTCTCCTATGGGATACAGGGTCAGAGCCCCAAAACAGACCCAAAACACCCCAAAAAACAGCCCAAAACCACCTTGTCCAGCTTCTCCTATGGGATACAGGGTCAGAGCCCCAAAACACCCCAAAAACACCCCAAAAACCAGCCCAAAACCACCTTGTCCTGCTTCTCCTATGGGATACAGGGTCAGAGCCCCAAAACACCCGAAAACACCCCAAAAACCAGCCCAAAACCACCTTGTCCTGCTTCTCCTATGGGATACAGGGTCAGAGCCTCAAAACAGACCCAAAACACCCCAAAAACCAGCCCAAAACCACCTTGTCCTGCTTCTCCTATGGGATACAGGGTCAGAGCCCCAAAACAGACCCAAAACACCCCAAAACCCAGCCCAAAACCACCTTGTCCTGCTTCTCCTATGGGATACAGGGTCAGAGCCCCAAAACACCCCAAAAACACCCCAAAACCCAGCCCAAAACCACCTTGTCCTGCTTCTCCTATGGGATACAGGGTCAGAGCCCCAAAACAGACCCAAAACACCCCAAAACCCAGCCCAAAACCACCTTGTCCTGCTTCTCCTATGGGATACAGGGTCAGACCCCCAAAACACCCCAAAAACACCCCAAAAACCAGCCCAAAACCACCTTGTCCTGCTTCTCCTATGGGATACAGGGTCAGACCCCCAAAACACCCCAAAAACACCCCAAAAACCAGCCCAAAACCACCCTGTCCTGCTTCTCCTATGGGATACAGGGTCAGAGCCCCAAAACACCCCAAAAACACCCCAAAAACCAGCCCAAAACCACCTTGTCCTGCTTCTCCTATGGGATACAGGGTCAGAGCCCCAAAACAGACCAAAACACCCCAAAAACCAGCCCAAAACCACCTTGTCCTGCTTCTCCTATGGGATACAGGGTCAGAGCCCCAAAACACCCCAAAACACCCCAAAAACCAGCCCAAAACCACCTTGTCCTGCTTCTCCTATGGGATACAGGGTCAGAGCCCCAAAACACCCCAAAAACACCCCAAAAACCAGCCCAAAACCACCTTGTCCTGCTTCTCCTATGGGATACAGGGTCAGAGCCCCAAAACAGACCCAAAACACCCCAAAACCCAGCCCCGAACCACCTTGGCCTGCTTCTCCTATGGGATACAGGGTCAGAGCCCCAAAACAGACCAAAACACCCCAAAAACCAGCCCAAAATGGTACCTTCTGGAGGTCGCTGTGGAGCTGCTTTAGCATGGCCTCGAGCTGCGACACCTTCTCGGGAAGGTCCAAGGCTGTGGGGGGGCTGTGGGGGGGGGCATAGGGCAATGGGGGGGGTGGGATCCCAGCCCCACATGTGGGGGTCCCAGCCCCACATACAAGGGGGACATGGGGGGGGGGCCCACATATGGGGGGGGGGGTGTCCCTGTACCTGATGGGGGGGGCGCCCCCCCGTGGCCTCTCCGGGGGTGGGGGGGGGTCGGGGCTCAGCACCGGCTCCGTGAGGGAGAACAGGGACACGGCCCTTTGCACTGGGGGGGTGGGAAGTCAGCACCTCAAAACCAGCCCCAAATACCCCCAAACCAGCCCCAAATACCCCCAAACCAGCCCAAAATATCCCAAACTACCCCAAAACCAGCCCAAACCAGCCCAAACTACCCCAAAACCAGCCCAAACCAGCCCCAAATACCCCCAAACCAGCCCAAAATACCCCAAACTACCCCAAAACCAGCCCAAACCAGCCCAAACTACCCCAAAACCAGCCCAAACCAGCCCAAAATACCCCCAAACTAGCCAAAATACCCCAAAACCAGCCCAAACCAGGCCGAAATACCCCAAACCAGCCCAAAATACCCCAAAAGCACCCCAAACCAGGCCAAAATACCCCAAAACTAGCCCAAAATACCCCTAAACCAGCCCAAAATACCCCCAAGCTAGCCCAAAACACCCCAAAACACCCCTACAACACCCCCAAACCACCCCAAAACACCCACAAAGCAGTCTGAAACCCCCCAAACCCAGCCCAAACCCAGCCCAAACCACCCGTGAAACAGCTCAAACCACCCCCAAAACCAGCCCAAACCTCCTCCACAACAGTTTAACACCCCCAAAACACCCTGAAATACCCCCAAAACACCACAAACCAGCCGAAAACACCCCTAAACCAGCCCAAAATACCCCAAAACACCCCCCAAACCAGCCCCAAGCATCCCAAAACCACCCCCAACCAGCCCAAAATACCCCAAAAGCATCTTAAAACAGCGCAAACCAGCCCAAAACACACTCAAACCCACACCCAAACCAGCCCAAACCACCCCCAAACACCTCCAAAACAGCTAAAACCACCCCACAGATAGCCCCAAACACCCCCAAAATAGCCCAAACCACCCCAAACACCTCCAAAACAGCTAAAACCACCCCACAGATAGCCCCAAACACCCCCAAAATAGCCCAAACCACCCCAAACACCCCCAAAACAGCAAAAACCACCCCACAGATAGCCCCAAACACCCCCAAAATAGCCCAAACTGCCCCAAACACCCCCAAAACAGCCAAACCCACCCCACAGATAGCCCCAAACACCCCCTAAATAGCCCAAACCAGCCCCAAAACTGCCCTAAATACCCTGAAACACCCCAAAACACCCCCAAACCAGCCTGAAACACCCCCAAAACCATCCCAAACCACCCCCAAACCCCTCCCTTTATACCCCCAAAGCCACCCCAGCACCCCCCAAACCCACCCCATGCTGATGGTGCAGTTGGGGGGGGGGTTGGTACCTTCATAGGCCTTGGCTGCATTGACCAGGCTGGCCCATTCCAGCCCCGTGGCCGTGTCCGGCAGCGGCATCATCCCGGGATCCACGCGGCGCAGGGAGAGCTCCGAGGCAGAGATGGGGCCTGCAGGGACATGGGGACCATTGGCACCCAAAACCATGCCAAAATCATCCTAAAACCATCCCAAAACACTCCAAACCACCCCAAAACCATCCCCAAACACCCTAAATCCACCCCAAAACACCCTAAAACCACACAAAACCACCCTAAACCACCCTAAAACCACCCAAAACCATCCCCAAACACCCCAAACACCCTAAAACCACCCAAAACCATCCCCAAACACCCCAAACCCACCCAAAACCATCCCCAAACATGCCAAAAATGCCCCCTGAACACCCTAAAACCACCCAAAACCATCCCAAAACACCCCAAAACACCCCAAACCCACCCAAAACCACCCCAAACCCACCCAAACCCATCCCCAAACACGCCAAAAATGCCCCCAAACACCCTAAAACCACCCAAAACCATCCCAAAACACCCCAAAACACCCCAAACCCACCCAAAACCACCCCAAACCCACCCAAAACCATCCCCAAACATGCCAAAAATGCTCCCTGAACACCCTAAAACCACACAAAACCATCCCAAAACACCCCAAAACACCCTAAACCCACCCAAAACCATCCCCAAACATGCCAAAAATGCTCCCTGAACACCCTAAAACCACCCAAAACCATCCCAAAACACCCCAAAACTGCCCCCCAAACACCCTAAAACCACCAAAAACCGTCCCAAAACTTCCCAGTTATTTCCTATGGGAGCTCCACATTGTGTCCTATGGGAGCTTCCCAGTGTGTCCTATGGGAGCTCCCCACTGTGTCCTATGGGAGCTCCCCATTGTGTCCTATGGGAGCTCCCCGTTGTCTCCTATGGGAGCTCCCCACTGTGTCCTATGGGAGCTCCCCGTTGTGTCCTATGGGAGCTCCCCGTTGTCTCCTATGGGAGCTCCCCATTGTGTCCTATGGGATCTCCACACTGTGTCCTATGGGATCTCCCCGTTCTGTCCTATGGGAGCTCCCCGTTGTGTCCTATGGGAGCTCCCCACTGTGTCCTATGGGATCTCCCCACTGTGTCCTATGGGATCTCCCCACTGTGTCCTATAGGAGCTCCCCACTGACTCCAGCACTCACCCTTCTTGTCGTGGAGGCCCCCGTTGGTGGTGGCTGGGTGCTGGCGGCGGTTGGGCAGGGTGCTGGATGGGTACGTGCTCCCAAAGCCCCCCTCTGCTTCCAGCACTGGGCTCCCACTGGTGTAAGCTGGGTCCCGGCGCCCACCACAGAGGCTTTCATCTGACAGGGTCCTCTGGAGCCCCTTGGGGGGGGTCTAGAGGGGAAAAGAGGGCGGGGGGGGGTGAGCACCTGGTTGTGGTTGAAGCCCCATTGGTCATGGTTGGACCCCCACTGGTCATGGTTGAACCATCCCTGGTCATGGTTGGAACCCATTGGTCACAGTTGAACCATGCTTGGACCCCCACTGGTCATGGTTGGACTCCCATTTGACATGGTTGAACCATCCCTGTTCATGGTTGGACCCCCATTGGTCATGGTTGAAACTCCATTGGTTGTGGTTGGACCATCATTGGTCATGGTTGGATCCCCATTGGTCATGGCTGAACTATCCCTAGTCATGGTTGGACTGCCACTGGTCATGGTTGGATCCCCACTGGTCATGGTTGGATCCCCATTGGTCGTGGTTGGACCCCCATTGGTCGTGGTTGCACCCCCCTTGGTCATGGTTGGACCATCCCTGGTCATGGTTGGACCCCCCTTGGTCATGGTTGGACCATCCCTGGTCATGGTTGGACCCCATTGGTCGTGGCTGAACTCCCATTGGTTGTGGTTGGACCCCCACTAGTCATGGTTGAATCTCCACCGTTCATGGTTGGACCCCCACTGGTCATGACTGGACCCTCACTGGTCATGGTTGGAACCCCTCTGGTCATGGTTGGAGCCCCCCAGATCATGTTTGGAGCCCCATTGGTTATGGTTGGACCCCACTGGTCATGGTTGGCCCCCCTGGTTGTGTTTGGAGGCCCCTTGGCCTCACCGGGGCACGCTCCGGCTCCGGGCTGGTGGTGTCCATGATGATGAGCTTCTTGAGGTCATCCTCGATGGTGGACTTGTAGCTCCTGCGGGGGGAGCGCAGGTCCCGCAGTGACGCCCGGAGCCGGGGCTGCCCAAAGACGTTCTTAGGGGTGGCCTCAACCTGCCTGGGGGGGGACACGGAGATGGGAACCCCCCTGGACCCCAACATCATCACCCCAACATCATCATCAACCCAACATCACCCCATCTACACCCCAACATCATCATCATCCCAACATCACCTCAACATCATCATCATCATCATCCCAACATCACCTCAACATCAGCCCAACATCACCCTATCATCACCCCAATATCATCCCCAACATCATCATCCCCATCATCACCCCCAAAATCACCCATCATCATCACCCCAACATCATTATCCCAACATCACTCCATCATCCCAACGTCATCATCATCCCATCATCATCATCCCAACACGATCCCAACGTCATCCCCATCATCCCATCATCATCATCCCAACATCACCTCAACATCATCATCATCATCATCCCAACATCACCTCAACATCATCATCATCATCATCCCAACATCACCTCAACATCAGCCCACCATCACCCTATCATCACCCCAATATCATCCCCAACATCATCATCCCCATCATCACCCCCAAAATCACCCATCATCATCACCCCAACATCATCATCCCAACATCACCCCATCATCCCGTCATCATCATCCCAACATCACCCCAACGTCATCATCATCATCATCCCATCATCATCATCCCAACATCAACCCAACATCACCCTATCATCACCCCAATATCATCCCCAACATCACCCCCAAAATCAGCCATCATCATCACCCCAACATCATCATCCCAACTCATGCCCTCCCCCATCCCACCCCCCAACAACAACACCCCCCAACCCCCCCCACCACCCGACCATCCACATCCCAACACCCAACTCATCCACCTCCCCATCTCACCAACACCACCTCACCCCAACTCACCCTATCATCCTGCATCCCCACCATCCCACAGCCATCATCATCCCATCACCCCATCCTCCCAACGATCTCATCATCCCATCATCCTCATCCCAACACGATCCCAACGTCATCATCATCCCAACGTCATCCTCATCATCCCATCATCATCATCCCAACATCACCCCAACATCACCCTATCATCACCCCAATATCATCCCCAACATCACATCCCCATCATCACCCCCAAAATCAGCCATCATCACTCCAACATCACCCCATCATCATCCCCACGTCATCATCATCCCATCATCATCATCCCAACGTCATCATCATCCCAACGTCATCATCCCCACGTCATCATCCCAACATCACCTCAACATCAACCCCAATATCACCCATCATCATCGCCCCAACATCATCAACTCAACATCACCCCATCATCATCATCATCCCAACATCATCATCACCCCCAAAATCACCCCAACATCATCATCATCCCAACATCACCCCAACATCATCAACCCATCATGATCCCATCACCTCAACAGGCCTCCACCTGCCTGGGACCATGGATGGGGGGGGGGAGCACATGGAGGTGGGACCCCCCCGAACTCCAACATCACCCAAAATCACCCCATCATCATCATCCCCATCATCACCCAACATCATCACCCCATCACCTCCTTTTGTGGTCCTACCCCCCCCCCCCAGCACCTACTATTGGGTCCTGCTCCCCCCATCACCCACTTTTATGGGTCCTACCGCCCCCCAGCACCCACTTTTGGGGCTCAGGCTTCTCCTCAGCCCTTTTCCAGCCCGTGGCTTGTTTATTCCTGACCGGCTGCTTGGAAAAGAAGGATTTGGGGATGGAAGCTGAGAGCTGGGCCCCCCCCCGGGGGGCTTCAGTTGTGGGGGTGCCATAGCCAGGATACCCCATCCGTGGGTTGGAACTATGAGGAAGAGGATGGAAGCTCATGGTTAGGATGGGGATGTAGGTACACCCCCCCCCATAATGATAGGGGGGCCCAATATGGTGGGGGACACACCCCTAGTTGGGGGGGGCCTCACCTGGGTTGTGGGGGGGTCCCTGCTTTGTGCCTGTAGCTTGTGCTGGGGGGTGATGGGTCCCCCTTGGTGGTGGCGGTGGCATCGTCCCCTGGAGCCCCTATGGGTTTGGGGCCCTTATCCCTTTGGGATAGCGGGCGGGGGGGGGGTGGTGGTTTGGGGGTGTCGATGCCGCTGTCGTTGGCGCTGCTTTTGGGGAAAGGATCCGGGAATTCGGCGCCGTCGTTGGCATCGGGAATGTCGAACCAGCGCTCGTCGCTCGAGGCGGTGCTGGAGAGCGTGGTGGTGCTGGAATGGCTGGAATACGGTGCCTCACCCTATGGGACACCCCCACAGCATCACCTTGGTGTTCCCTAAATCCCCCCCCACACACACACTTTGGGATCACCCCAGTGCCTCACCTTGGAATGCCGCTTGGGAGAATCCATCCCGGCCACCTCCTGTTTGCTGCTTCTCCTGCCTGTTGGCAAGCGGGGCTGCGCTGGCACGTGCCACAGGGGCTCTGCAATGAGTCCCCGTTGGGTCGGTGTCACCATAAAGGCCCCGGTGGCCTCGGGGGGGGACACCGGGGTCACCGTACCCGGGTTGTGCCGCTCCATGGTGCTCTCGTGGCTGCTGACCCCCCCCGAGGAGGAATCGCCATCGGGTGGCTCCGCTGCTGCCCCAAACCTGTAACGGGAATGGGGGTTGAACCACCCCAAAACGGTGCCAAACCCCCCCCACTATGGGGTCGCCATGGTGCCACCCACCCCTATGGGACACAGTGTGGGTGGGGGGGGTCCCCATGGTGTCACCCACCTCTCTGGGGATGGTTTATAGCGAGTGAAGGTGCTGCCCGGTGCGGAGAAGCTGCCCGATGGTTGCCGGTACGGCTGCGGCCGCTCCGATGGGGATGAGGAGGAGGAGGGATGCGGTGTCTCTGGGAAGCTCAGCGGCCTGGCTCCATGGATCCATGTGGGGAAAAAGGCAGGGAAGCAGGGAATGGGTTGGGGTGGGAAGGACTTTCAGATCTCCCAGTTCAAACCCTCTGTCATGGGCAAGGACAGGTCACAGTCCAACAGCTCCATGTCCTTACGTTGAGGACACGGGATGCGGTATCCAAGTGGGATCCCCTCCATGACCTACTGGTCATGGTCCTATTGATGCAGCCCAATAGCTCCACTTGGATCCTGGGGAGTCCTCAACATGAGGAGGACATGGAGCTGCTGGAGCAAGTCCAGAGGAGGCCATGAGGATGAGGAGGGGCTGAGAGGAGAAGTGAGTGGAGACCTTCAGACCTCCAGGGTCTGAAGGGGGTTACAAGGATGCTGGAGAGGGACCACCAGCAGGGATTGGAGTGATAGGAGAAGGGGTGATGGGTTCCAACTGGAATAGGGAAGTTCAGGCTGGAGATAAGGAAGGGAGGGTGGTGGGACACTGGAATGGGGTGAATGGAAAAGTGGTGAATGCCCCATCCCTGGCAGTGTCCAAGCCCAGGCTGGAGGGGACTTGGGCAACCTGGTCCAGTGTGAGGCATCCCTGCCCATGGCAGGGGTTGGAGATGGATGGGCTTAAGGTCATTTCCAACCCAATCCATTTGGTGACTCTATGAGAGGTTGGTGATGATGGTGCCGTGGTGATGGTGCCATGGCGATGGTGATTGTGTCACGGTGATGGTGTCATGGTGATAGTGCCATGGTGATGATGCCAGGGTGGTGCTGTCATGGTGATGGCATCATGGTGATGGTGTCATGATGGTGCTGCCATGGTGATGGCGTCATGGTGATTGTGCCATGGTGGTACTGCCATGGTGAGGGTGTCATGGTGATGTTATCATGGTGATGGTGTCATGGTGGTGCTGCCATGGCGATGGTGTCATGGAAATGTTATCATGGCGATGGTGTCATAGTGATGGTGCCATGGTGACGTTATCATGGTGATGGTGACATGATGGTGCTGCCATGGTGACGGTGCCAAGGCAATGGTGCCATGGTGATGATGCCATGGTGATGTTATCATGGTGATGGTGTCATGGTGGTGCTGCCATGGTGATGGTGTCATGGCGATGTTATGGCGATGGTGTCGTGGTGATTGTGCCATGGTGGTACTGCCATGGTGATGGTGCCATGGTGATGGTGTCATGATGGCGCTGCCATGGTGATGGTGCCATGGTGGTGCTGCCATGGTGATGGTACCATGGTGATGTTATCATGGTGATGGTGTCATGATGGTGCTGCCATGGTGATGGTGCCATGGCAATGGTGCCATGGTGATGGTGTCGCCATGGTGATGGTGTCATAGCAATGGTGCCATGGTGATGGTGTCATGGTGGTGCTGCCATGGTGATGGTACCATGGTGATGTTATCATGGTGATGGTGTCATGGCGGGGGTGTTGCGGTCACTCACCTCTTGCCGTGGGGCGGCAGCACCGCCTGCTTGCCAGGGCGGCCGTGGGGCGCTGTGGGGCCGAGGCTGGTGCTGTGGGAGGCTGAGGAGCTCCATTGCCACGCGGCGCTGCTGCGGTATGGGGGGCGCACCGGGCAGCCCCCCCGCTCCGGCTCCTCCCTGGGCTCCGTGCTGCCCAGGGACACGCACTCGGACCAGCCCCTGCCAAGCACAGGGAGCGGGGCTCAGGGCAGGGAGCTGGTGGCAGGAGGCACTTATGGGGCATGGAGCCATGGGGATCAGCACTTATGGGGCACAGAGCCACAGGGATCAGCACTTAGGGGGCATGAGGCTAGAGGTAATTGAGCCTTAAACGGCATGAAGCTGCTGGCATCGGCACCTATGGGGCACAGAGCCATAGGGATCAGCACTTACGGGGCACAGAGCCATGGGGATCAGCACTTATGGGGCACGGAGCCATGGGAATCAGCACTTATGGGGCACAGAGCCACAGGGATCAGCACTTAGGGGGCATGAGGCCAGTGGTAATTGAGCCTTAAACGGCATGAAGCTGCTGGCATTGGCACCTATGGGGCACAGAGCCATGGGGATCAGCACTTACGGGGCACCAAGCGATGGGGATCAGCACTTACGGGGCACCGAGCGATGGGGATCAGCACTTATGGGGCACAGAGACATGGGGATCAGCACTTATGGGGCACAGAGACATGGGGATCAGCGCTTATGGGGCACCCAAAGGCAGCCAGTGCCATGGGCAGAGCTTTAGGCCCCCCAAGCAATGCCTTTCCTGTAGCTCTTTAAGTCCCCATTACCAGTGACCAGCACATGGTGGTGACCAGCACTGGAAAACTGGGATACCCCACCCTCAAATCCCACTGGGAAGGCTCCACACCCTTTGGGCACTCTATTGCCCAACACAAAGGGGATGTTCTCCCACTGGTGGCAACTGGAAGACATGAGCTCCATGGAGAACCATCATCAACCTAACTGGAAGACATGGGCTCCATGGAGAACCATCATCAACCTAACTGGAAGACATGGGCAAAATGAAAGACCATCGCCAACCTAACTGGAAGAAATGGGCTCCATGGAGAACCATCATCAACCTAACTGGAAGACATGGGCTCCATGAAGGACCATCGCCAACCTAACTGGAAGACATGGGCTCCATGGAGAACCATCATCAGCCTAATTGGAAGACATGGGCAACATGGAGAACCACCATCAACCTAACTGGGAGATATGGGCTCCCTGGAGGACCATCGCCAACCTAACTGGAAGACATGGGCTCCATGGAGAACCATCATCAACCTAATTGGAAGACATGGGCTCCATGGAAGACCATCGCCAACCTAATTGGAAGACGTGGGCTCCGTGGAGGACCATCATCAACCTAATTGGAAGACATGGGCAACATGGAGAACCACCATCAACCTAACTGAGAGATATGGGCTCCATGGAGGACCATTGCCAATCTAACTGGAAGACATGGGCTCCATGGAGAACCATCATCAACCTAATTGGAAGACACAGGCTCATTGGAGGACCATCTCCAACCTAACTGGGAGACATGGGCTCCATGAAGGACCATCATCAACCTAACTGAGAGATACGGGCTCCATAGAAGACCATCGCCAACCTAACTGGAAGACATGGCCTCTGTGGAGGACCATCACCAACCTAACTGGGAGACATGGGCTCCATGAAGGACCACCTCCAACCTAACTGGGAGACATGGGCTCCACGGAAGACCATCGCCAACCTAACTGGAAGACATGGCCTCTGTGGAGGACCATCACCAACCTAACTGGGAGATATGGGCTCCATGGAGGACCATCGCCAACCTAACTGGAAGACATGGGCTCCATGAAGGACCATCTCCAACCTAACTGGGAGACATGGGCTCCATGGAGGACCATCACCAACCCAACTGGAAGACATGGGCTTCATGGAGGACCATCCCCATCATCGCCATCACCTACCTCCGAGGAGCCCCATCCTCATGGGGCGGGATGATGACCACCTTGACGGTGACGGAGGTGCGGAGCAGGTCGATCATCTGGTCGTGGTTGAGGGTGACCACGGCCACCTTGCAGATCTCCACCAGGCGGCTGCCTTGCCGCAGGCCCGCTTGCCAGGCGAAGCCGTAGTCCTCCACCTCGGCCACCGTCCCATCGTACTTGACGTGGAAGCCCAGCTGGCCCAGGCCGTTCCTCCTCAGGGTCATGTCCACCGTCTCGCAGCCGTCCGTCATCACCTTGGCAAGGGGGAAAGGAGGGGGTTGGAGGCCTAAAAGCCTCCTCGGGGTGGTCCTGGATCCACATCCCAGCAGGAGACAGCCTCCAGGTTTAGGGCTGGAATGGAGCTGGAGATGATCCAGTTCCAGAGGGAGGGATGCATTCCATAGAGGAGATTGCTCCAAGCAGGGCTTGGGCACGGCAAGGGATGGAGCAGCCAAACCACCTTCATTCAAGCCAGTCCCAGTCCTTCTGCCCTCACAGGGAAGAGCTTCATTATGAGAGTGATGGGAAGTTGAGGTTGGATATAAGGAAGAACTTCCCTATATCCAACCTGAATTACCCCTGTTCCAGTGTCCCACCACCCTCACAGGGAAAAACTTCCTTATATCCAACCTCAACTTCCCATCACCCTCATGAGGAAGAGCTTCCTTATATCCAACCTCAACTTCCCACCACCCTCATAAGGAAGAGCTTCCTTATATCCAACCTCAACTTCCCATCACCTTCATGAGGAAGAACTTCCTTATATCCAACCTCAACTTCCCATCACCCTCATGAGGAAGAGCTTCCTTATATCCAACCTCAACTTCCCACCACCCTCATAGGGAAAAACTTCCTTATATCCAACCTCAACTTCCCACCACCCTCATAAGGAAGAGCTTCCTTATATCCAACCTCAACTTCCCATCACCTTCATGAGGAAGAGCTTCCTTATATCCAACCTCAATTTCCCACCACCCTCATAGGGAAGAACTTCCTTATATCCAACCTCAACTTCCCATCACCCTCATGAGGAAGAGCTTCCTTATATCCAACCTCAACTTCCCATCACCTTCATGAGGAAGAACTTCCTTATATCCAACCTCAACTTCCCATCACCCTCATGAGGAAGAGCTTCCTTATATCCAACCTCAACTTCCCACCACCCTCATAGGGAAAAACTTCCTTATATCCAACCTCAACTTCCCACCACCCTCATAAGGAAGAGCTTCCTTATATCCAACCTCAACTTCCCATCACCTTCATGAGGAAGAGCTTCCTTATATCCAACCTCAATTTCCCACCACCCTCATAGGGAAGAACTTCCTTATATCCAACCTCAACTTCCCATCACCCTCATGAGGAAGAGCTTCCTTATATCCAACCTCAACTTCCCATCACCTTCATGAGGAAGAACTTCCTTATATCCAACCTCAACTTCCCATCACCCTCATGAGGAAGAGCTTCCTTATATCCAACCTCAATTTCCCACCACCCTCATAGGGAAGAACTTCCTTATATCCAACCTCAACTTCCCACCACCCTCATAAGGAAGAGCTTCCTTATATCCGACCTCAACTTCCCATCACCCTCATGAGGAAGAACTTCATTATACCCAACCTCAACTGCCTATCACCCTCATGAGGAAGAACTTCCTTATATCCAACCTCAACTTCCCATCACCCTCGTAAGGAAGAGGTTCCTTACATCCAACCCCAACTTCCCCTCTTCCAGCTCCACCCCATCACCCCTCATCCAAGCAGCACTTCCACAACCTCTGCCCGTGGTTCCTCCACCTGGAAACCCACCTTCAACCTCTGCACGATCTCCTTGATGTCCTCAGGACCCCCTTCCCCGGCCCGGATGAAGATATGGTCCCCTCGGCCATAGAAGATCTTGATGGTGGCCGCATCGGCGGTCCACCCGATGACATCCCCACAGAAGCAGTTGAAGACCACCTCTTTAGCTCCCAGATCCAGGAGGACCACGAACTCATTGGAGATTCCCAAAGCACAAGAGATCTCGGCTCCACGGGCGAAATCCAACGCGGAAACACGCCAGGAGATGGCCCCGGCGCTGTGCTGCTCAGCCCCAACCCGTGCTTTGGTCTTCTCCTTCTTCTTGGAAGCCAAGGAGATGAGGTTGAACTTCCCGGTGGAGTCGATGGGAGTGTTGGTGACCCAGTTCTCAGCCAGGTCCTTCAGGTATTCCCGGCGTGTCCTGGTGGCCATGGTGTGGAACTTGTCCGATTTGTGAGCCGCGTTCTCCGCGTTGATCACCTTGGCCAAGAGGAACTCTCGGAAGACGTCGGATTTGCGGAAGGTGACGCCGTTGGGAATGGGGGGACCGAAGGAAGGGACGTCCTTGGATCTGGTGACGGCCACGCTTGGGAAGGAATGGAGAAGGGAAGGTGGTTAAGGTGGCTAAAACCATGGTACCCCGCTCAGGGTTGGGATTTAGGTCCCTTCTTGCCCGCTCCGAAGGGAGAAGCTCCACGTCTCCTCTTCCAAGAGGGGGAAATTAGGGATGTGGTGGCCAAATCCATCTGGAAGCTCACCTGTAAGAGACGTTCTCCGTGCAGGGATTGTGGGCTCGGACGATGATGAAGACGTGCTGGAAGTGGGAACGGATGTTCTGAGGGGTGAAAGGCAACGCTCCAGGTTCTTGGAAGATGATGGTGACGATGTCATTCCCGATGTGCCTCTTCCTCAGCAGCTGGAAGAGAGAAGACGAAGGGAGAGGAGCAAATCCCTACAGATGGAGAGGAGGGGGAAGCCCAACGAAGGCGCTGCTGGGGATGGAGGGGGTTACCTGCTGCCTGTTGTTGGGAGTGTAGGGAAGCATGGTGGACACGTGGAACATGATCTCATAGTCCTGGTACGTGGTGTAGAGGGAATGGGTCCCGGTGGAGTCGGCTACAAGGGCGGCAGAGGGGACAAGTGAGCGGTGGTGGCAGCATCTCCGGTGGCCCCACGGTGCCAGCCCGTGGTGTCACTCACTCTTGGTGTCCAGCTGGGCCGCGTACTTGCTGAAGGCCTTGAGGCAAACCTTCTCCCCCAGGAGCATGAGGAACTCCTCGAAGGGGGGACCGGCCTCCTCGTTGTTGTACATCTCCTCCTCCGAGCTCTGCCCGGCTTTGCAGTAGAGAATTCCCACCTTGTGCCTGCGGCAGAGCTGCGGGAAGACGGGAATCAAGCGGCGCCGGATGCCAGCGGCTCCGGGAGCGTTGGTTCCTAACTCTACTCACCCCTTGCTCATCGAGCTTGAGGAGCTGCTCGGTGACCTTGGGCGTGCTGAGGGCCAAGCGCAGGCAGTGGATGTTGAGCTCGGGAATGACGTATTCCAGAGCGTCCTTCAACGGGAGGCCCCGCACTGTCCCGTGCTTGGTGGTGGTGGGGGTGGCATCTTCCAGGATGGAGCCACGGAGGGTGATGAGCTGGGAAAGGAGGGGAAAAGACCAATCGAAAACGGGATAAGCAGGGCTGGATCCAGCTTCCCAATCCTGGGTTTGTGCTATCCCAGCGGGATGCGGTACCTCACTGGTGCGGAAGATGATCCTGTACTGGTATTGGGGGCCGTGGTCCTTGTGGTCCTCCAGCTTCTCCCGCTTGATGCTGACGGCCACCGGGCCGAGCTTCTCATCCACTCCAAAGTAATTCGAGTGCTCTACCAGGAATAAAAGAGGGATGGAGGAGAAAATGGGGATCAGGAGCATCGGGATGAGCTGGGAACCCCATTGACACAACACACACCCCCCCCCCCCAAACCCCACCTTTGCCATGGAAGTGGTCGCGGTAGTAGCGGGCACCGAGGTCCACGTGCTCCACGCTGTAGTGCTTGAGGCGGTTGGGGCTCCTCTGCAGCTCCTTGGGCACCTCCAGCACCGAGATGGCAGCGTTGGTGGGCCGGGGATCCAGGATGGGCTCCGGGAAGCTCCCATCGGATACCGGGAGGACCGGAGATCCCCCGGAAGCTTTGGAGAAGCTGACGTTGCGCTCGCCGGCGCCGCCGATCTCGTTGCGGAAATGGGGACAACTGAGGAGCAGCTCGTTGCTGGTGTTATCGCCGAGGTCGTGCTCCAAGTTCTCCTTCGAGTTGGGATCCTCGGTGCCGGGAAAGGCCGGATCCGAGCCCATTCCCGACGGGGCGGCCGAGGCGGCCGAGGCGCCCGTGGTGGTGTTGCGGCGTTGGGCCACCACCACGCGGTTGGTGGCCACGGCGTTGAGGTCGAAGAAGATGCTTTGGACGTCGTAATGGGCAAAGCTCTTCTGGCACCACCAGCTCCTGCCCGGCTCCGGCGCCCGCGGCTCCTCCGGCTCCGCGTCGTTCCGGGCGTTCCGGAGCTTCCTGAAGATGGATTCGGTGCCGGCGTCGCCTTTGGGGCATCTCCGGCGGGGTTTCTCCTTGGATTGGGTCAATGCTTCATCCCGAGCTCCATTCCTGCCATCTGCTTTGATCCCGGGGTATGATCCCGTAGGAAAACCGGCCTCTCCGAGACGCTCCGGGCTCGCCGCTCGCCGCTCGGGCTTCTTGGTGCGGAATTCATTGAGCATATCAAAGAAGCTTTGCTCCGAGATTCCCTGGATGTCAATGGAGGAGGTGCTGCCGTATTCCCGGAATATCCCACCTCCTCCTCCCAGTTTGGCTCCTCGGGGCTCCGTCGGCTCCTCGGGATCGCACTCGCTCAACGTCACCTCACTGCTGCTCCGGTGTCGCAGCGGTGCCAAACCTTTGGCCGGGGATCGAGGCCATCCCTCTTGGAATTCCACATCCTTGGAACGCCGCCGCGCCAGGCGCTGCAGGGCTTTGAAGCCCGCGACGCCAGCCAGGGGCTGCTGCCCGATGGGGGCCGCATTCCGGCTCCAAGGAGCATCCCGGCTTCCCGCTGCTTCCCGAGGCGGCTCCTTGGGGGGGTCCCTCTTGGGGGGCCACTCGGCGATGCGGGCACGGACCCCCATTTTGGGGACAGGGACCATGCGGGGGGGGTCAGCCCCGGGAGGTGCCGCCACGGGGGGTGCTGGCACCACGTTGCCATTGGGCACCCAAAAGGGCGCTGGGGAGCCGTCGGTGTCCTCATGGCGCGGCGGGCGGTGGGAGCTCATGGTCCGGTGACGGGGATGAAGCCGCTCATTGCCAGGCCGGGAATGCCGCTGGGATGCCGCCGCTGGGAATGCCGGGAGGGCTGGGAATGCCGTGGGGCATGGTGGTGGCGCTCAGAGCCGATGGGACATCCTGGGGTGGGGAGAGAGAGAAGAGAGGGGGACATGGGGTTGGAGGTGGGGGGCACCAGGTTGGGTTGGGAATGACCAGTAATGGTCCCCTCTGATCCATGGGATGGGAAGGAGCTGGAATCATCCAGACCCAACCCACAGGGACACCGGCCATAGGGCAGGCTGCTCCTTGGGCACGGCCAGGGATGGAGCATCCCAACCTGCTCCATCCAACCCATCCTCATGGGGAAGAGCTTCATCCCAAGATCCCATCATCTCCTCATCCCATCCCTCCATCCCGTGTCCAAAGCCCCGCTCCAGGTCTCCTGTAGGCACTGGGAGTTGCTCTGAGGTCTCTATGGACATGGAGATGAAGCATCAGGAGGAGATTTGTACCCACAAGGATATGGAATTCCCGGGATGCTCTTCCCAAAAGATATGGGAGCATAAACCTGCAGCCAGGGACGACGGGATCCCCCTTCCCATACAGCATGATCCCAACGGGAAGGGTTCAGGGCAACCTTTTCCATCCCTATGGAAGAACTTGTCATCCCCTTCCTTTTTTAATGGATTTGGAGCTACTTTTGATGGAAAACCAGGAACAGTCTTGCATTTCCCAACAGCAGCTCCATGTTTTGGGAACTACCCCCCCCCCTTTTCCTTCCTGGAATCTCCCCTGACTTGGCATTTCCAGCCTCCACTATCAAGCTTGGGAAGACCAAAAGCGCTGGAGCACCTCCGTTATCCAGCAGGAATCCATCCAAGCAGGAATCTCATCCTATTCCCTAGGAAATATGGGAAGAGTCTCCCCCTCTCCGGGCTCTGTGTGCCAAAGGGAAGCAGAAGGAGCCCTAAGGATTCATTGCAGGGGTTTAAGGGGAATCCTGGTGGCTCCGACACCGGATTCACCGGCACCGATGGATCCCAAAGCATTCCAAGGGATCCCAGTGGAGGGATGAGCACCGCCCCAGCTGCTCCATCACCCCCTTGGGATGTCCTTTGGGATAAGAAATGAGGGAAAAGGCTTCAACACCACCCCCCCCCCCAGATGGATCCTGCTCCTGCAGCTGATCCCGCTCCTCCAGTTGATCCCAAAGTTGGGAACGTTGAGGCCCATCCTGCTGCATTTGCAGGAGCAGGGCCCAACCCTTTCCCTGCTAATGAATAACCAGATTGGTTTTAATGGTTAACCACAGGCTTTGCTTTGGGATGTGGGATGGGATTTAACCCCTTCCCAGCTTTATCCCACCCAATTCCCACTAAAACCCCGGGATTTAACCCCCCACAGGGGCCTTTCCGCTTCCAGCTTGATCCCAGCTCATTCCCAAATCCACCATGAGCTTCTCCTCCCTTCCTCAGGGCTTCCCACAGGGAATAAAGCACCATCCCAGGCTCCCTTTGGGATGAAACAGCCCCAGAAAGACTCTTTGGGATGGGGGGGGGGGGGGGGGGTGTGTGTTTCCCGGTTTTCCCAATGCTCATCCAAAGGGAAAGGCAAGGGTAATTAGGGAAGCAATTAAAGGAAAAGCTCGGGAATTCTGGGCTTAATGAGGGGGTAGTTAAAGCCCAATAATCATTAGTGGGCAATGAGGACACCATTCATTATCCCAAAGGGAAAACAGGAATACAGGAAGGGCTCTATCCCAACCTGGACCTTGATTCCCGGTTTTATCTGATGAAGACGGGATAATGAACACTATTCCAACACCAACACGGTTGGGAATAAGGACCGATTCCTACTTGCCTGGATTCCCAAGGCCGGGATCTCTGGGATAGCAGCGTCTCTGGATGAGGTTGGCCAATTCCAAAGGAATTATGATCCCAAAGGAAGGAGCTTGTCACATCCCCCCGGTGTATCCCTTTCCCTTGGGATAAATCCCTGCCTGTTGAGGTCCAAAGAAGCCCGGGGAGGCCTGGATATCGGGATGAAGAACAGGAGGAAGAGGAGGCTCCTACGGCATTCCCAAGCTCCAAGCTTGAGGAGGAATCCTGGGAGAAGGAAAAGAGGAAGGGTTGAAAGCGCTGGGATCGCCCTGCTCCCAATGGAACGCCAACAGATCCAAGGGCCACCTTGGATTCGGGATGGAGTCGGGATTACCGCTCCATGAAATCCAAAGGGAAAAGGAAGTTGTTAAAGAGACCCCCCCCACCCCCCCCAAATCCCATTAAATAACCCAAGAGCCAAGGAAAACCGGGATAAAAGGGAAGGAAAAGGCAAGTCCCAACGTGCAGGAGGCAGCGGGAAGCGCTGCCAGCTCCATACCCGCCTCACGGGTGCCCCCCCCCCCCCCCCAAACAAGCCCTTTGCCATGCCCAAAAAGCCCCATTTTGAGCCCAAAACAAGGCCAAAGAATTCCCACCTTTGGGAATGGGGGTATTCCCCCAGCCCTGGGGGTGAAATGGGGGTTGGGGGGGGGGGAAATGGGGCTTTTTGGGGGGAGAAAATGAAGGATTTGGGGGAAAATGGGGCTTTTGGGGGGGGGGAAGAAGGTTTTTTTTGGGTGGAAATGAGGGATTTTGGGGGGGAGAAATTTTTTTTGGGGGGAGAAATGGGGGGTTTTGGGGGGATAAAATGAGGGATTGGGGGAAAGGTTTTTTTGGGGGGAGGAAATGGGGGCTTTTGGGGGTAAATGGGGTTTTGGGGGGGAATTGGGGGGAAATGTGTTTTTTTGGGGGGGAGAAAATGAGGGATTTGGGGGGAATGGGGGCTTTTTGAGGGGAAAAAGTTTTTTTTGGGTGGGCAGATGGGGGTTTTGGGGGTAAATGGGGGTTTTGGGGGGTAAATGGGGTTTTGGGGGGGTAAATGGGGTTTTTGGGGGGGTAAATGGGGGTTTGGGGGGGTAAATGGGGTTTTGGGGGGTAAATGGGGGTTTTGGGGGGTAAATGGGGGTTTTGGGGTAAATGGGGGGGTAAACGGGGGTTTTGGGGGGGTAAATGGGGGTTTTTGGGGGTAAATGGGGGTTTTGGGGGGGTAAATGGGGGTTTTGGGGGGGTAAATGGGGGGGTAAACGGGGGTTTTTGGGGGGTAAATGGGGGTTTTGGGGGGTAAATGGGGTTTTGGGGGGGTAAATGTGGGTTTGGGGAGGGTTCTGGGGGTTCTTAAATGCGGTTTTGGGGCAGTTCCGGGGGTATTTGTGTCAGTTCCGGGTGTTTTCCACGGCAGAATCCCAGCGGGACGCGTTGCAAAGGGGGATTTGGGAGCCACAACCCAGCTGCACCTTAACAAAGGGCTCAATCTACGACTCCCATTGAGTCCTGGCCCAAACCCCCCCCCCCCCATTACACAGATCCCTATGGATTCACCTACCGCAACCCCTCCTGGTCCAGTGCTGAGGGAGGAAAAGAGGGAATCGATCCATAAACAGCAGGAAAGTTGGGAAACAGCCTCATTGAGGGGGGGGGCACCCCAAATACCCCCCCTAAAGGCCCAGTCGTCGTCGTCGTCCGTCCCGTCCCCCTCTCAACGCGAAGGCCGCTGGGAGTTGTAGTCCCCCCCCTCCCCGCGGCCTAGTCCTCCGGCCGGCCCACAGCACTACAACTCCCGGCAGCCCCCCATTAACGGGGACCCGGAGGTTGAAGCGGGGGGACCCGGAGGTTGAAGCGGGGACACCCCCTCCCGTTACCCTCCAGGCCCCGGAAAGGCCCAGGCCCGATCGGAGCTCGGTGGTGGCGGCGGCGGCGGCGGAGCCCCCCCCTCCCCGTCCGTCCCCCCCGAGCCTCAGGGGGGGACTGAGGGAGGAAGAGGGGAAGGGGGGGGGGAGTCACTCACCCCGCGGCGCGAGCGCAGGAGCCAATCGGCGGCGCGGGACGGCGGCGGCGGCGGAGGGAGAGGAGGGAGGGGCTTCTCCTTCGCCGTGTAGCCAATCAGAGAAGGGAACGGGGATGGTGATTTGCATACGGGGGAAGGGAGGGAGGGAAGGGGCGCGCCCCGCCCACGCTGTGGCGTCTGATTGGGAGGGGTATTTGCATAAAGGGCGCGCTCCGCAGAGGGTCCCGCGGGTAAAGAGGGGGCTCTGCTCTATGGGGGGGCTGCCGTCAGCCCCATTGGACCTATGGGGGTCGCCGTCAGCCCCATTGGACCCTATGGGGGTCACCGTCAGCCCCATTGGACCCTATAGGGGTCGCCGTCAGCCCCACTGGACCCTATGGGGGTCGCCGTCAGCCCCACTGGACCCTATGGGGGTCGCCGTCAGCCCCACTGGACCCTATGAGGGTCGCCGTCAGCCCCACTGGACCCTATGAGGGTCGCCATCAGCCCCATTGGACCCTATGGGGGTCGCCGTCAGCCCCACTGGACCCTATGAGGGTCGCCATCAGCCCCATTGGACCCTATGGGGGCTGCCGTCAGCCCCATTGGACCCCAGGAGGGTCGCCGTCAGCCCCATTGGACCCTACGAGGGTCACCGTCAGCCCCATTGGACCCTATGGGGGTCACCGTCAGCCCCATTGGACCCTACGAGGGTCACCGTCAGCCCCATTGGACCCTATGGGGGTCACCGTCAGCCCCATTGGACCCTATGAGGGTCGCCGTCAGCCCCACTGGACCCTATGGGGGTCGCCGTCTGACCCATTGGACCCTATGGGGGTCGCCGTCAGCCCCACTGGACCCTATGGGGGTCACCGTCAGCCCCATTGGACCCTAGGAGGGTCGCCGTCAGCCCCATTGGACCCTATGGGGGTCGCCGTCAGCCCCACTGGACCCTATGGGGGTCGCCGTCAGCCCCATTGGACCCTATGGGGGTCACCGTCAGCCCCATTGGACCCTATGAGGGTCGCCGTCAGCCCCACTGGACCCTATGGGGGTCGCCGTCTGACCCATTGGACCCCAGGAGGGTCGCCGTCAGACCCATTGGACCCTATGGGGGTCGCCGTCAGACCCATTGGACCCTATGGGGGTCGCCGTCAGCCCCATTGGACCCTATGGGGGTTACTGGGATGCCCTCCACAGCCTGCCCAGGTAGATACTGGGAGCACTGGGAGCTGCTGGGAGTCCCTTGGGAGCGACTGGGA